TGAATCCTATAATCTATACTAATTTGAATTTAAATATTTTTTTTATTAATTAGGATGGGTAGTTTCGAGGGGTAACTTTTAAAATTCAAATGGGAACCTATATTTTTGAAATATGGTTCGTATAGAATTTTTTTTTAATGAATTTTGACGTATCATTCATAATTATGGGTCAATAATTAAAAAAGCTATTTGCATTCGAATTTTGTATTTAATTTATAAAATGCCATGAATGAATACTAATAATAATATGCTTAGTGCTTCTGTGACACGCCGATGCATTGTTGTACAATCTAATGATCTGTACGCTATCTAACTATCAATGTAATAGTAATAAAAGTTAAAACGTGTGTTTGCTATCTTAATTTAATTTTATATTGCAAAGGTCAAATCCACGGACTATCTAATATCTTAGTCCGTGGTCAAATCACACGATTGTATTAATAATAATAAAAAAACAGCRAATTAGATAATATTATACCATCTACATAATATAATATTATGTATATTGGATATTGTACTATTTATAATCAATGCTTTTATTGGAACGGGTTTTATCTTCTTAATAATTTTACATAATATTAATTTATATAAAATTAGAAATAAATATCATATTACAGCAGATAAATAGGCAATAGATAATTATACCAAATTGTTGTATTATACAGTATACAATCATTTAAAATGTGTACAAATAGGTAACAATATTTGTATACAAATAGGTTTTGACTAATAATGTAGGTGTCTAAATATCTTTTTTAATTTAAATAATAAGTAATAACTAATAACATACTTATACTTTAACATTTTGTTTGAATCAACTTAATATTAKATATACTAYTTCTAAACACTGCAAAATGACAACATCGATTTCAAAAACATGTATGATTAAATTTCGCGTTCAACATAATGCTAAATGATGCATTTAAATCAAACAGATTTTGAAAGAACATCACCTTTTCAGACTGTTTTCACAACATAAAGATATAATCAATCCAATATTAAATTATAATAACTAGGGCTTGGATGTTGTTACATTAAAGACTAAATGTTATAGTTATACTTAGAGACCTTAAAAGCTTTAAACACAGACAAATATGAGCAAATATGTACATATCAATAGAACAAGAAGATTGTTTGTACTAGAGGCTCAAAGTGAGTTCAATTGAATAATAAATTATTTGTATATTTACTAATTTGCTATATTTATTACATTATTAAATGAGACTAATATTTTTACAAATTACTTAAAAATGTTGTTAAAGTATTCATATGCTCAAATTGGTTAAAAATAGTTGATTTGGTGTAAATAACCTTGTAAAATATAACTGCAAGTCTTTAAAAATTTGTATGGTTTTCTTTGAAAAATATTATATTTTCTTCCAAAACAAGGTACTTATATCGTTTGGAATTTAGATTCAATTCATGTCGATAGTTGTAATATATCTACTTAATA